CAAGGACACTGAAAGTTTTACAACTCACACTGTGCTTATGGATGAGGGAATTGATCCTTCCTTATTACAAACGGCAAAGGTGGTAAAGAACTCTACCCAGCCCTAGATTATATTTGTCAGTTAGACAGCAGTTAGAGGTCATTAAATGTCTAAAACTTCTATTTTGGAAGGATTTACTGCTCTTCCCAGCCAACACCTGGTTTCTGTTCTGTATTGACACTGTTTGCCCATTTCCATTTCTCTAATTATATTCCTATTACATTCCAGCTATTGAGTCCTTTCTTTTATATCATGGCAATTTACAGCAAAATTTTGCAGTCCCTGCAGCAGCAAACTTACACAGAAATTACACAATGGCATTCAAGAAAAATGTTTCAATAAATCGACATTGCATCCAAAATTTTTCCCATAAAATGAAAGACAAGTCCAATGAGATGGGGAGGATGATATAAAGAAAGTAAATCCAAGGTAAGTCAAGTTTCAAGTACAACAAAACATGTTTGGTAAGTTTATAATACTAGAAACCCTTCACACTGCATTCCCTTAAAAAGCATACAAGGGATGGTTGTCCAGAAAACCTCAATCCATTAGAGCTGGCAAAGTGAATTTTGGAGACCACTTTGATTAAAGATAATCAAGTGTACTGACAAAAATATCTGTATTTCACAGAGGTTATTTGCTAAGCATGGAGATAATGATATATCTCAGTTAGTACCTATGCAGTAAGGTGGCATTTATTAGTTTCTGTACAGCATCTCAGCTTCCCAGGTTTGGACCCATGTGGATGTGTTAGACCTTGCATTTCCAAGACTTCCATGCTGCCACCAAAGCAGGGCAAGTGAGAACAAGCATTTTTTTCTCCTGAAGCAAAACACTTACGCAAGAAAATGATGAGACTTAGAAAGAAGGCTGCTATCATTTGAATACTGCCTTGACTAGAACAACCAAAACAAACAGGTACATGTTCCCCCATTTCACTTCTTGTTTCTTCAACAAAATTTCCAGTGTTTGCTTGAGCCACTGCCCGTTGCTCACAATGTTTGAACTCAAAAAGGAAAGGGTAATTAGGCCAGCAGCTATGCCATTTCACATTTTTTCAGGGTAACCTTGTCAAGTCTGAGATTTCCATTTCTACACCCAGAATACTTTTATTTGTAAATAAGAAGGCATATCATTTGCTATAAGTGATAGAGATCAATCCACTTGAGCATTTCCTCATGGGAAATGTATAGAGGGAAAAAAAATAATATCCAGTCACTAGATCAACACGGAAGTTTTCCAATTTTTCTATTACCAGAACATTGGGATAACATCCCAAAAAATGTGGGACTTTCTGGTAAATCCAGCAGTGATGAGTATTTTCTCAAAATGATGAATATTCTAACTCCTGGAGGATCCATAGCAAAGAAATACCTGCCTGGTGATACAGATTTTTAATGGACAAATCATGCCATCAGTCCTGTGAGGGCAAAACTTAACGTGCCCTTGCATTAACTGAGCTTCTGAAAGAGTTACTCAAACCATCCTTTCAACAACCTGAGAAACTTCACTGGATGTCAGGCCCTGAAACACCTCTTAAACTCCATGCAAATAGTTATTATTTTCAAAGTATAACAGCACTGCAATTATACTGAAATTGAACTCGGGAAGATATTCTGTAAAACTAAAAATATAGACTATTTCGAGTGATTATGGCAGTCCTGGGAGAAGGGCATCAAGACTGCCACTGTGATGAAAATCAGTGTAGCTAAGATGTTCTACTACCTGTTTCCATGTAAATATTTTTCAAGTAAATAAGTCACACTCCAAGTGAGCCAAGTCAAAAACAGGTCTATGAAATTACTTTCCAGCCACCCCAATATAGGAAAGACAATCCCCGATTTTTAGTGAAGGTAAAATTATTTTCTGTACTTTGGAAAGAACTATCCCACTCCCTAAATTTCACTTACATTCAAAGCAATGCTCCTATTTCAACAGTTTTACCTGCCTCCAGATTTCAAATGGTGGCAATTAGAGAAGTACAGGTAAATTTGCCCTTTCCCAGCATTAGTGTACTCAGTTCTACTCAGTTTTCTTCATCTTTCTGAGGAAGGATTTCCCCAATTAATTAGGAAGGCCTTGCATGATAAGGAACAGATTTATTTCAGCTCGTTTGCCATGTGGCCAAAAGGTGCCTTATAGCAGCAGTGTTATCACACACCTGTATTAAAGTCAAGCTTTTATCCATTCTCTTTTGCACAGAAGAGAATGAATCCTATTCTAGTTCTCTTTGTGGCTACACTCATTTTCATTGAAGAGAGATTACAGGACTGAGGAACAGTCTTCAAAGATTTTTGAATGGGTAATTGAAAAGGGCTAAATGAAAAGTAAATGTAGGTGAAGCAGCCCCTAAGTTGTGCACACAAGATTGATTAGCAACATGCACACAGCTGCCAGCACGTGCTCAGAACTGCCTCATCTCTGAGCTGTCTGAAGAGCAATACAGAGTATTATTCAACATGCCTGGCTAAATATAAATTTACAAAGGTTCACTGATGCCTGTTTAGAGATCCTACCACTATTAATGAAGGTGGTGCACAATTTCAGTTCCAAGCATGCAGCTTGCTTTCTATGCACCCTTTCCTCTTGTTTTCCTGGTAAATTACAAACAGCTAAACTCATAGAGAACATTCAACATGGTAGGTTATATTGGGAAATACTTAAATAAGAAAGGACTTTGCAGACATATGAGAAAGCAAAGATGTAAGAAGTTGTAAAAATTTAAGCTTCCTTCCTCTATCTCTCAGATTTTTATTTTAGTCACTTGGTACATTCAAGATTTGGAACAATCTATGTCCTATTTTTAGTATTTGTCAAGACATGAAAAAACCAATAAAAAACAAATAACAGCAGGTTACAAGTGTGTTGAACTATTGGACCACTTTATCCCATCTATGACTGTCAGAAAATTCAGAGCACTCTGTGACTGAAAACATCAGCTCAGGTACAAATTCACTGAACCAGTATGACCTCAAGCACAAAGTTCTAATTATTATGTGTTTGGCAGGTTCTCTGAACAACAGAAAATAAAAGTCATAAATACTATTGGGACTTTTTCCATCTTCCCACTTCTGGGGATTTCTGGAAGAAGCAGAAAAGCCCTTGTGCTCCTGTTATGTTCAAACTGGTTTGTATTTACAGGAGTTCAGCATGAAAAGTATCCTGTGACCTAAAAGGCTGAACATATTCTATCACAGTATTGCTCAGTGCTCAGGGCAATTCCCTTTTAAGCAAAGGTCTTCTGAGCAATCTTACTTTTCTAATTTGTAAACTACACAAAAACACAATTTCTCTCTAAATATTTTCATAATATTATATCCTTCCTATTAACATTTCCTCTATTAACTCTGTTAATAGCAAATGTTGTATAAAACAGCACTATTCATTCCCATCTCCTTCTCAATTTTTTTTTTATTATTTTAAGCAGACAAAGATTATGATTACAAATCTAGCTGGATCTTCAATCTCACAGACATCCTCCAAAACCCAGCATACCTTGCCAGCCTGTAAAAAAATGTCTGCCCAGTTCCTCCATACTTACTGGATTTACAGGGTAGCCACTATCTATCTACACTCTGCAACACTACAAATGGGGAATGTAAATGGGACAAAAAATAATGGACAGCCATTGGATTTTGAGAAAATCCCTCAGCAAGTTTTACCACCCAAGAGAATAAAATACACCTTCATTTTTAGGATTCCACAGGGGAAAAAAAGATAAAACACAAACCCCTAGATTTCCATTTTTTTTACACAATTAAAATAAAACTACCTACTCCCAATGAAGCTAAGAAGTAAACAAGCCTCAAAAAATCATCACTGGGATCATTCAGAGTTTTGAGGACCCTCAGAATTTCTCAGCCAGACCTTCTCAATGCCCCCCAGAAGCAGAGCCACTGGAGCAGCCCAGGAAGGTGTTATTCACACCAGTACAGCTGGCAGAGCCTGCCCTTGCTACCACAGGGTGAGACTCATCCAGCCTAGCTTCAGACACTGAAAGGTTACACACTGAATTCTGAGTGCGCCACTGTAGGCTTCCCTACAGTCAGTGGAGAGAAACAGGCATCTCCAGGGGGCAAGTTGCCTGACCTACCTATTTTAGGCTGAGATGAATCACTCTCTGAAGGTGCCCATTTTTCCTCAATTGACTGTGAAGTGAATCCAGGGTGACTTCCCAGCCTTTGATATCTACATTTCTGATGTCTTGGTGAAGACATCTGAATTTCACCCACAATTTCCAGACCTCAAAGCCAGCATCACTGACAAACTAGCAGTGTTATGTATCTATTTCTTGAAATGAAAACTTTCACTCCAAACTCCTGTATTATATTTCAGTTGACTTTCACAATCCTGGCCCTTATAGAAACAACACCTCTGTTTTAATCAGTCACAGCTACAAGATGGTAAGTTCACACAATAAAAACAATTAAAAGGCAAAAATGAGTATCACTTTGCTGAAGTAGTAACTCTTGGGTTTCTTATGTCCTACTCAGAGCTGACTTAGACCAGGTAGCTGTTCTGAATCCATTAGTAAAGCACTTTCAGTCCAATCACCTTTGTTGTTATAAACCAAAACTCTTTCACCAGTAACCACATTTTTCTGCTGAAGTTTGATATGAAATTTCAGTTTTTAGTTTTAAGACTTCATAACAACAAATAAAGTCATGGAAAATATTGAAAGAGAGAAAACCTGCTCCATCTATCTCCAGTTCATAACGGAACTCTTCCCATCTATGCATTTTTCCCATGGGATAAGGTCCTACAATTCAGGAAGGTCCTTTCAATTATTATTTTTGAGCAGATGATCCATCACAGCAATAATCACCATTGGCACTGTAGTCACAGATATACTCCATACCTAAGGGCTAAAAGAACCCTCAGATAAAATCCAATCCATGATCCATCAGCATTTAATTTAGATGACAATCCTGTAAGCTTTTCTTTTAGTGACAAATTCTTACCATGTCTTTCTCCACTGAGGTACTCCCACATCCTTTTCACCAGACCCGAATGAGCAACATCATTTCTGCAACAGAAAAAACCAAAATTGTCCTATAAGTACTATATTATCATCTTGGTTTTGTATGTTTTTGGTATATTTTTCTTGTTTTTTGAAAAAGCTGTAGCTAATAAACTGTTGAAATTATAGTTAAAATTATACATGAGAAAAACAAAAGGAAAAGTAAGATGAAATAGCCTTTTTACTACTAACGAAAACTCCCTTCTAATCTTGTTTATTCTTAATATATCACAAATATTATCACTAGATAAAAGAAAATAAGTTTTGGCAAACAACCAAATAAAACTATCAAAAAATTTAATCAGTTTCATTCAACTCCATCCAGTGGTTTCAGTGTCCCTACCCCACAAGATCACTCTGCACCGTGTTGCTGCAGTGCAATCTGTTTGCTCCAGTGTGCCTGCAGCAGTCACTCAGGTTATCAGGGATCTGATTACTGATCTTCCTGCAGCTGCCCCGTGGCAGATTCTCCTCTCCTGCTCATGCAAAAGCAGAATCCCAGAGTGGCCAGACTGGGATTAGTGCTGGCTCCAGATGCTCAACCCACACAGGAATTGTCATCTTCCAATTCCTACCCACTTCCCGAATTTTAGCAATTTTAAACCCTGTTGCTCTTAACTACCTGCAGTCAGATGCTACACTCAGCAGTTCTTTTAGGGAAGCATTTTACAACTTTTTTGCATGATTCACAACAGTTCCACAAATAAATAAAGCATAGGTTTAACTAAAGCCTGATCTCCAAAGGGAATAGCAGAGCGTCTCTCTCAATAACAAATACACTGAATATTCTATAGAAATACCTAAACCATAAATCACTAAATTTATTTCCCATGCAAATGTTTTATTGAGCTGGCTGCAGAGGGGAATCACTGCCACTAGGAGGCCAGTCAGGATAAAAATAAAGTCTTCATTTACCTGGGCAGCAGAACCATCACCTGTTACACAGAAGGCAGCACTGCCCCTCCCTGTGGGCCAGGCACAGCAGCAATAATGCAGTGGTACCTGAGCAGCAGCGTCTGGCCAGGCTCAAAAGAAATTAGGTGTTGTATTGTCTGTTTCGTGGATCCTGTCAAATCTGTGCTTCTTTAACAGACCTATGGGCCACATTGAACATATACAAAGCTTCAAATGACCAAGCCTGAAAGGGCTCCTGCTCACAGCTGAAGAACCCACAAGTGAAGTCTTAAAATGGTGTGACACCTCATAGCTCTTGGAATGGCACTTAAATACAAAGTTTGACTCCTCACTGTATCTTAAAGAGCCATCCTGATCTGGGGAGTCCAAATCTGGAAGAAACAACAGGAATACAGGCAGAAGCTGACAGATTTTCCCAAGTGAGGAAAATGAACTAAGTCTGCCTGGGGTCAACACAAGCAGACAACAGTGACAAGGTTGGATCTGTACAGTGCACAACAATCTATGTAAGAAAGGAAGTGTACACTGATTAATATTACCTAATTAAATCACCAAAGAAATTATTTGGATTGCATTATATGCAGGAAAAAAAAGACTGTTTCTAGAGGATGGGGAGAAGGTGCAAGAATTGCTTTTCAAATGCAGTAAAAATAGCAATAATTCTGCTATTATGCCAAGACCTTTCACTGCAGGACAAGTTTTTATTACCAAGATATAGACTCCCAGGAAAATAGATTTATAGGGGGCACGATGACACTAATCAGAAATCCTTATGAGTGTCCACAGAGCACAACCCACAGGCATTGAATGAGCTCATAAAATCAATCACAGGCCTTTGGAAATGTTTACCTACACACTACTGGTTTTGTTAAAGTCGGTCAAATTTTAGGACCAGGTACCTAGATTTTAATATATCTCTTTAAGGCTCTTTGTTTTGGGCCATAGAGAAGAGAAAACATGAGGCAATATCTACCTAGGTATACCTGTCCTATAAATCACACCACTTGGAACTCTGTCTCTCATAGTAAAACAAAACACCATGATATAAAATTAATAGTGGCTCAGAGAAAATACATTTTCCAATAGGTGTTGGGAGGTACTGGCAGAAATGAGCCAATGGTCTCTGTTAAATTTCTAAAAGAAAAAGGTCAAAAGCAATTTGTCTCCTGTCTCCACCTTCTTTCTCAGTCTAAATTGCTTCCAAAGTTCACAATACCTCAACAAAAATAAAATTTGGCCCCACTGAGACCAATAACAAAGTTTCCACTGAGCTTTCTGGAGACAGAATTTCACTTTTGGATAGCAGCATATCATCTTAAATTATGGCTTTGTGCCCCTTGCTCAAGTCTGAGATCGAGCACATTTATAAAGTGATGACTGCAGGATTCCTGGAACCAACATGTTCCATGCTAAGATTTTCCTCTGTGTGCTCAGGAAAACAAGGTGTCTGGTTCAGACAGTTGGTAATCTAAAACCAAGATCTGCTAAAATTTATGATCAAACTGCCCTATTAAAGAAAAAGGCACCTCTCATAGGAGCAAATGTTCCACTTGGTGGGTAGAAGCTAATCCCAGATGAAGAAAAAAAGACAAGCTATATTGCTCTGCTGTCAGGAGTTCAAAGAAACCCTGCAGTATAAAATATTTGTAATGTGTGTCACTGAATCATTTTCAGCCCTGAAATATTATTAAAGTAAGAATTTCACTTAATATGAATATATGCAAAATGCAACATTTTTTCATGCAAAATGTATTTACTTATATTGCTTAGGAGGATGACAAGATATTATTCTGGACTATCAATCCTAGAATTCTGCCTCACAGAGAATATGAAAAACTTAACAGCAGAGAAACAAACCCCTATACACTTCATACATCACCAGTGTTAATTATGCAATGTTGCAAAAGAAGGTTAAAAAAATATTCTGTCCTTAAAGCTTTCAATTTGCTTTCTTAAGCATTAGGTATTTTGCCCTATTTTGTAGCGTGCACAACTAGAAATAATTTTGCAACATTTTCATGTATGTTCAATAAAAATGCAAATATATAAATCCCTATCTCTGAACAATAACTCAGGTTGATGTGTACTAAATAATATTTCTAATAGATTGCAAAACTCAAGTTGATGTTTACTAAATAATATTTCTAATAGATTGCAAAACAGGAAATATATGAAGCACATCCTTTAAAAACAGTTTCAAAAAAATACTACATTCTGCAGCTTTGAAGGGCAGTAGATGAGAGGCTGCCAGTTTTTGCTGTAGATATGTAATTCTAACACCTGGCCAAAAGCTAGTTGAGATAACTGCTTCCCTTGTTCTTAATGAGCAAACCCAGCAACTTCAGGACCTGGCCAAAGAGACATCAGTGACTATCAGCAGATGAAAGAAAGCACCACAGCCTTTTACAAAGATCTGCTGTGAACCAGCTTCAATGACTTTCCAGGCAGCCTACCTGTTTTGTTTGCAGCTTTAATACACTGGTGGCTACTTATGCAAAAAAGGCAAAAACTAATTAAATTTGTTTATGTATGTTATCGTGTGGAGCACTCATTTCCAGACATCAAGCTATGAATCATTAAATAACTGCTAAATTGGTCTCCTGGGATAGATCATGGCTCAGAGTTGGGCAGGCCCCCATCCCACCAAAGCCAGGTGTGCTCTGCAGTGAGCAGGCATTAAAACTGTTTAAAGGCCATGATTTGGGTACCCAGCCAGGTCTCACACTGTGAGGTGAGTGGTAGGAAATCATGAAAACAGTGACAGCTCTCCTGTCAGACTTACTCCTCTGTTTGATTAATGAGGGCATTTGAAAGACAATTAGCCAGAGCAGGTTTGGCTGCAACTAGCTTATCAATCAGGCACCCTCTATTAAAAGCACTACTGCCTTCTTTGTTTTTGGTTGCAGGAGAATTGTATCAATGATACACAAACAACAAGGGACCTTTACATGTCCTGCAAAAAGAAGAGCAGAATGCAGCAAATCACAACTGAAATAGTAAAAAAACAAAAATGCTTTGCAAGCCACAAGCCACTGGTTGTTGGGAAATCATCACTGCAACTTCCACAGAGATTTTTTGGCTGGATTTTTTTGTTTCTGCATGGTGAATAATATATCAGGTACTTCCAAGCTTCTCAAGGACAGGTTTATGCTAAGTTTTCAACAACAGCAAAAATGAAACCAAACTGCAACTGATTCCATATATATATAAAAAAAAAAATCCTTCATTAGAAAACCTACTATGAACCTACTCTGAGTTTCAACACATTTCAACTAAGAACTGTTTGAAGTTTTTTAAAAAAAGAACTTGTTGCAATAATTCATCAGTTTGATTTATTTCATTAGTAATGCAATCTCTTTGCTTTCCAACCACCAACACAGGTAGCATTTAATGCTATACTTTGCTTAGGCAGCTGCTTACCCAGGAACATGTTTCATTCTTTGGCTTAAATGAGAGCTTTGCTTCAAGTGGAGTAGTCCTTGAATTCATGTAAGTGATCAAAAATATGCAATGGACAATTTAAACCATGTCTGAACTTTTCCTGGAGATTTGCATTTCCATCAGAACAGTTTTTATCAAACTAAGGAAATGATGATTTTTGCCTGTGAATGAGTAAAAACCAAATTACTGACTAATGTATTTGTATTGCTCTCAATGTGAATAAATCCAAGACTGAAAGGGTAGGATTGAGACTGAAGTGCAATGCACCACTTTTCCTTTCAGTTTACAGTTAATTTTCCCTGGCAATAGCAGATCAGAGGTATTTTTAATGCATGACTAGTGTAGTACTAAGTGGGTATATATGCAGTGCAAGGAAGTTGGTTTTTTTAAATTTTTTTTTAACCTTGCTAGAATCTATTTCAGAAGTAAGCTCACAAAATACTGCATTGTGTGTGTTTGAATACGGGGATAATAAAGCAAGCAACAAATTAATCTTTGATTAGATTAGTTAGAGTACAAAGACAGAGGGAGATTCAGCCTAGCCCAAAAAATCCTCTCTGAAGCTTCCCTGTGTTGGCAGAATGTGATAGTCCAGCATTCATGGACAGAGAACTATAATTGTTTTTAAAAATTTGGAAGAGTTCCCACTG